TAAACTACATAACACACACACACACAAATACAGGTTGAAGCTGAACATTGTGTGTAACAACTGAAATAAAGTGCTATAGGACACAGAGGAAAGAGCACTTATTCATACCTAGGATTTTCTTTGAGCAGGTGGAATTTAGGACAAACCTTAGGCATGATGAGGGGTTTAATGAAATGGACAAGAAGTGCCTTCCAGCCAAAAGCCTAATGAGAGCAAACACAGGTGTCTGAAGAACCTGGCAAGTTTAACCTGGCTGGTGCTAAGGATCCTTTAAAGGTGTCACCATGGGAAAAAGCTATATAAGAGATATGGTATTGTAAGGGTGGGAGTAGATCATAGGGATCTCTGAGTCAGAAAAACAAAATCACTGGAGACTCGAAATAAGATGATCACAACTGCCCTTAATCAGCATAACTTGGGAGAAAATGGAAAGGATGAAAGGAAAGGGTAAGGAAGGTTAGTTAGGACAGCTTATATAAGAGATTTTTTTTCATTTTGTGTATATATATGTTATAGGCCATCAAGCACTTAACCAGAGAGGTCTTTTAAAGTAATCTCTCATGCTGGTGAGATTTAAAGTAAGGAGGGAGGGTTATGAGATGATAGTCTGCTATAGTATATTTATAAGTTGCAATGATCAATTAGTTATACCAGGGTAAAAACCAGAAGAGTCAAACGCAGCAGGGCTGTTTCAACATTAGCAGATTTGAAAAATGGCCGTTATTTGCCAGGGTGCAGATGGGTGGGACAAAGAAGAGACTTGGAGAGAAGAGATGATGAGTTTGGCTTTGGCCACAATGAGTTTCAATCCTTGTGTTCATGAAACGTTCATTTACAGTTCCTCCAAGCGTGTGTGTGGGGGTAACATGAGTATATAAAGTATTCAGTGGATGGAAATGCCTGACTCTGGCCTTTTCACAAAGATTCATACTCATGACAACTCTTCCATAAACCATATGAACTAGCATTTCTAGAAGACAGGCTAAGAGTTATACCACCTGTTTCGAAGCCAAACTCTTCTTAATTCTGAGTCTTTTTTTTTTGCCCTTCTCTAATTCTCCATAGTAGAGGAAATTAGAGAATTAGCACTAGCGTTCATCCACCAGAGTCAAGTGAACTGATAAACACAGTTCTATCATCTTCGACAATTAATTTAGGCCATTCTTGGTTGTGGGTGTAATCCCATCCACACATGCAAAGTCGTTCTAAAATGGATTGGCTCACTTCAGACATTACACATGGGGGATGGGAGAGAAAAACAGAGGAAGGAGAAAAAGGCCTATGAAGGAATGTGAATTGTCTGTTATTGTAAAACATACAACCAAGTGGCTATTTGCAACTCTGACATAAGCAACAGGTGGTCACAGCACTGAGGTCTGTAGTGAATGAAAGAAACTTAGGAAGGAGGAATGCTTGTTTATAGTCCGGGAACCAAGGAGGTAAGGACACAGCTTGATCTTGTATCCTAGCAAGAAGGAATCGTGAGCTAACCATGCGTCAGATCTTTGATTTGAGATATTCAAACGTTCACAGCATTTCCTGTAGCTAGTTCCCCACTTAAGTTCTTTTATGTGTATACAAAAATAGTCTGTCAAGCTGCCTGAGCTTTTCAACATGGGTGAGTCCTGAAGCGCTACAACATCTAAAAAGTCCCTCTTGTCTGTGAGATACCATATCACAGGGTTACATTAGCTAACTCTCAGAGAATTTCCAGTAAGCGTGGTGTGTAATCATTACCAATGTTAATTATTTGAAAATGATCATCTCCACGTTTTAGTCGCTGCTAATGCTAACAGATTATTCTCCCTGATAAAGAACAGAATTCATAATTCAAATTTGTAAAGAACTAGGGATATGTGTCCAAACTTTGCACTCAATTTGTATTGCTACAGGGAAAAATAGGCCCAAATGAATATATGATGGAAATAAGATGGTATTAGTGGTGAGATGGCAGGGACGTTTTGGAAACAGCAGTAATGAAATAGCTTTGAACTTCTCTGAGCCTCCAGCCAGCAGCACCAGCAATAATTTTAGAAGAAATGAAAAGAAATCGTGAATTTGAATGCTGGCTTCTCCCTTTTGGTCTGAATTTGCTGCAAGCAAAGAGGATGAAACTGGGGGTGAAAAAAATACTCCTAGAAGATTTCATATGGATTCCTGACATTTGAAGGATCCAAAGCCATAGCCCCAAGGAAGAAATTACATTTTTAAAACTATGTAATGTTATATGATAAATGTTCCAAGGTTCCCAATTATACCCTTTCCTTCTTAGCTTCCTCTGGCGTTCTTCTTACTCCCTCTACTCAGGTCATATTAAAATTTTCAGTGTCCTGAATAAACTCAAGGCCTTCCTTCTTATCCCAGCACTCCATCCACATTCTAGGATGATTCTGTAAATGTTTTCCCAAGAGACTTAAATTTTTTGAGAACATGATCTTGTCCTGTTGATCTCTTCATCTGCCACATGGTTTAACACAGTATTTGTACCAGTTAATAAGTGTCTGGTGTAAAGACATAAAATTTACTGAACTATTTAAAGCGGGGCTTCAAAGTTAAACTAGATATTTCAAAACAACCAGTCTTATATTTCACTTAACTATTCAACATCTCTGCAAATGACAAACCCTACATGAATAGAAGAATCTAAAATTCACAGCTACTTTGTTACTTGGCGAGATACTCGAATGCATGTAAAATGATCCAATCTGAAGTTTTCCAATTGTCTTTAAGTTACAGTGCTCCCGTCAGACATTCAAGGTTACCTACTTTATAGTCACCACTTTGATTTATTTCTTCAAACTTTCTTTACTTTTACTAGTTTTGACAAATGTATTTTAAGAACTATAAATTTTTTAGCTTTTCCCGCATAAGTGGACTGTAATGATATTAATTCACTTACTCTTTGCGACTGTGTGTGATGTTGTGAATTTACTATTAATGTCATGAACAGGGAAAAAAGGGACTATAGAATGAAAAATTTGGCAATCTGTGGATTGAAAACTCAATAGATCAATCCACATGTTAATATATGTTTGGGGTTGAATTTCTAAATTCCATAAAGTTATAAAAAACTTTATAGCAAATGTAGGTCATAGTAAATCAAATACCCTCATTGTCCCTATGGGGGTCTGGTTCCTGGACACCTGTAGCTACTAAAATCTGTGAATACTCAGATCCCTTACATCAAGCATGGTATTTGCATATAATCTATGCAATCCTCCCATACATTTAAAATCATCTCTAGGTTACTTATATACCAAATGCAATACTTGCACTTCATGACTGTGGATTCAATGTAGGACTTGGCATAAGACAAATTTAAATTTTGCTTTTTTGGCACTTTTTGCAAGTTCTTCCCCTAAAGAACATATTTTCAATCTGTGCTTAGTTGAATCCACAAATGTAGAACCCATTGATAACAGAGCACTGACTGTCTATAAGCTTGAGAAATGAGTACAACACTGTTTTACTTACTTAGAGGCAACTCGAAAGTATTTCTGGATAAAATAGAAGGCAACCCCAAGGGGCAATAGAGCAACCAGGAACACAGGAGTAGCAAAAGAGATCATCCCAATGGCAGACAGGCAGAGCAGTGTTGAGCGAGTTAAAGATTCCAAAGTTGGAGGGATGTGCTAGTTAGGTAGTTTGGAAGAAAAAATATGTTTTAGCTCAAATGACACACTGACTATAATGCAATGAAAGTATTTATTTTATATTAATGATGTTATATAATTAGTTACAAAAGTAGTATATAAACTTATTCATTGTAAGCAATTCTTCACTTAATTCTCATAGTTCAGTATATCCATATGTCTATTTATCTATATAAATATCACTGATCAGTATTTACCAATCTACCTAATATTTATATAAATGGTACTATACAATAAGTCTTATTTATTCATGTGCTTATTTTATTATACTGAACAAGATAGACTAACCCTTCTCACAGCAGTGTATTCAAATTTATTTCTTTTTAATTGTTGCATGATATTAAAAAGTTTATTTAGCTATTTCCCTCCTGTAAGACATTTAAATTAATTTTCTGTAATTGTTAATATCCTTTGAGTATTTTTGATTGGATTATTTATCTTTTTCTTAGTGATTTGTGGGAGCTCTTTATATGTTATGATGTTTATTTTCTTATGCGTTTTTTGAAAAATTTTCTTCTAGTTTATCTATTTTGTTTAATTTCAGATTAATATGAGGACATAAACTATTAGGTTACAATGCTTGTGTTGTTAGGTAAGGTACTTATAGTTGTGTTCTGCACCCAGGAAGTGTGCCATATATGCTTCCATTGTACCCAGTAGGTGGGAGTACACCTAGTTTATCTGCCATATTTATGTTTGTCTTTGGTATTTTTAGCTCAATAGATGTTTAAAGCTTTTTATATTCACTTCTATTGGCCTTTTTGTTTTTTGTTTCTTAGTTCCATATCTTATTTAGAAAAACTTTTCTTATCCCAAGATTATAAAACTACTCTCCTACATTGTATTTTATAACTTTATGTTTTTATTCTGTATATATTTGTTTTGTATTTGTGGTTAGCTAATTATCTCAATATTGTTTATTAAAACGTTAATCCTTTTCTTACTAAGATGTTAAGTATCTATACATGCTGGTGCTTTTGAATTTCTCCATTCTGTTCTTTTGGTCTACTATCCTCTCTGATCAACGGAGTGTTCTAATTAATTTTGTAGTAATTTTTTGATATATATAAGAAAATTCTCTCTATGTATATAGGATTTTTAGAACTTCTGGGATTGCTGAATTTCTTTCTTTATGTTATATTTATTTCTGTTTGTATAGTTTCTATTATGAATGGAATTTATTTTTCACAATATTTTTAATTGGTGTTGAGTAAGTTGCCATTTTCATATAACTTATGCAGATGTGCTGCTGAATTTTTCTAATTGGTTCTTAATTTTACTAATTATTCTGAATTCTCTAGGTAGCAATCACATCATCTAGATAATAGCTGTTTCATCTCTTCTCCTGCAATACATATTCCTTACGAAGTGTTTCAGGTACAATGAGATCTAACACGAAGGCCGTGAAACCATCAGAATTTCTCAGCATACTTTTTAATCAGCTTCATGTATACAACATTCTTTTTCTAAACCAAGGGTAATTTAGATGTTTTTAATGTCACTCTGCAAAGCCAGAACAGGCTAGGGCTAGATTTGATGGATTCTTTCCTCAATCATTCTAAGGGTTCTGCTCTTAGAGTGATCCGATTTCAGTATTTAATATCTTTAATTTCAGGACCAACTTCTAGAGAAGACCTTAGGCTAAACTGGCCATTCTTTTTATTTATTTATTTATTTAGACACAGAGTCTCACTCTGTCATCCTGGGTAGAGTGTCGTGGTATCATATCTCCAACAATCTCAAATTCTTGGGTTCAAGTGTTCCTCTTGCCTCAGCCTCCCAAGTAGTTGCCTCAGCCTCCCACGTAGCTGGTACTATAGGTGCCCACCACAACACCCAGCTATTTTTAGTAGAGACAAAGTCTCACTTTTGCTCAGGCTGGTCTTGAATTACTGAGCTTAAGCAATCCACCTGCCTTGACTTCCCAGAGTGCTAGGATTACAGACATGAGCCACAATGCCAGGGCAGGCCTTTCTTATGATACTCCCTAAAATACCACACCATCTAAAGCTTCAGGAGCCAACCTAGGAAAAGTAAAGGACATTTCAGATAGCTTGGCATCACACCCTTCACTTCTAGAAGATACTCTATGAATAGTGAACTTTTATTTTTAAATTTTAGATTAATATGAGAGTACATACATCAGGTTACATTGTTTGTGTCTGTAAAGTACAAGTTGTAATTGAATCTTTCACCCAGGAAATTTCTCATAGACCTGTACATTGTACCCAATAGGTGAGAACTTACTGAACAATACCAAACTTTAAAAACCTTATACCATTAGTGGAGATACAACATTGATCAAAATCATTCCTTTATATAATGAAAATGTTAGATCATTATTAAATATTTCTCTTTATTTCATGCTGATTCTCTAAGTATCTTCTTTTACATAAACAAATTAGTTTGTACTAACGTTTTTTCCCTTAATATTTAATTCCAGAAATCATTTGGGTGTATTACATTGATATGACTGCAAGTAGGCCTTCATTTAAATTTTAGCAGTCCTCTATTGTTAATGGGAAGCACGCTTTATCTTAAAATGCTATTTAGCTTATACTAAGAAATTTATTTTTTAACTTGGAAGTAACTTGGGTACTTACCTGATCAATGATATTAGTATCAGCTGAAAAGCGATTGAGAATTAGTCCCAGGGGTGTTGTATCAAAGAACCTAGGATATAAACAGATTGAAGAATATAGTGATGCTAAATTATCTGGAACTTGAGGACTTCTAATGGACAGACATTTTTAGAGTCATGAAAATGAGAAAGATGCTATTCATTTGCTCGAGGACTAAGGAAATTCTTTCAACTTTCACTTTAATTTTAAGATGCATGTTTTCAGGACTTTGTGGGAGTGAGAAATAACTACTTTTTTTACCTTATTGGTCCAAGAATTATTTTATTGAGAAGGTTATGGTGAAGATTTTTGGCAGCCGTGAGACCCATCCATTCTACGGTGAGAGATGTAACAAGGCAAAGGAAAATACCCGCTCCACAAAGTATGCTAAAGCCAGCCACATAGTAGGTCTACAAAGCAACCAACACAAAAAGCATGTAGAAAATTGTCAGGTGAATATTTTTCTTACTGGAAAACCAAACGTTGAGGTCAGACAAAATTGTTGACTTCATTATTTTGCATACATTTAGACAGCTGAAAGAGTACAGGTTCTCAGAGAGGCAGGGCAGTGTTCCCACCCTAATCCCACAGGTCAAGCCCTACTTGTTCCCTTCACTCTCTTTCAATCAGGCAGATAAAGGTAATAGAGTTTGTTTTCAAGTTTGAGGCCTTCTCTTGCTGTTTCATTGCAGAGCTCATTCCTCCCATCCCGAATCACAGATTGACCAAATTATACCAAATTATACACTGATAGAGATAAAATCATATTCCATCAGAACTATGAAAAAAAAATCCTGTGTGGATGTGCATAACATATATGTATATCTAAAACACATGCACATAACTCCCTTGAATACAAACGCAAACATTTTCTTTAAGTGTTTTTTATGATAAGCTTTTAAAAATGAAAGTAAAGATGGTAGATTTCATTTTGAACATTAAGACAATTTATTCTAGTGTAGGTCCCCTTGTAATTATCAACTTATTAAATCATCACAGAAGTCCTGTGACATTTGGGCTATTAGTATTTAACTACAATAGATCAAATGGTATTACTGTTAATCTCCATATTTCTGTGAAGATTCAAAAACAGAATGGAACCCACTGTACCTTATCAACTATTCCAGTATTGTTTATGCTGTACTTGGACGTCCAGGTGGCCAGCCAATAGTCTATGCCTACAATGACTGAATGCTTCAGAAGCTTAGAGAAAATCATGAGGAGGAGCAAGATGAATCCTCCAGAAGTCAGGTACCGCCAACAGGTTTTCCATGGCATTTTAGTCCTGAGCCTCATTACAGTGGACATGTTATCATCCTCATCTTCCTCTTCTTCTTCCTCTACATTTAAAAAATAAAAACAAAAAACAAAAAACTTGTTTGGGCTTTGGATGGGTACCAGTATATAGAATTTTCATTTCCCACCAAAAAAAGTATTTATGTATTAGTCTTGAAAATTTTAAATGCTTTTAGCAAGACAAGCCTCATTTGTTTTTGAAAATAGCTAAAAGTAAATGAACGATAAATAAACATAGAACTGTATCTGGATGAGATTATTTGCTGATTGCACATCAAATTGACTGGAAGTATAGACTGGAAACTGATTAAGTTATTGAAGGAATTGAATCGCCAATAAAACCACACGCCTGGCCTGCAAACATCTGTAAGTTTTTTCTAAATGTCTGAATACATATAAAATTGCATCAGGAAGAAATAGACTCTAAAATTTGTGCACAGCACAGGAGAGCATCTGCTCCCGTTTGGGAGGGACATGCTCTCCAGGGCCTGTTTTAGATGCAGTGATGTGGGGGAGTGGGCAAGGAGGAGCCTTCCCGAGCGCAAGGTCAGGGGCCACAGAGCTTTACAAGCAGGGATTCCTCTCAGATGTTTAAACTATTTGGAAACTCTGAGATGGGCTACCCTAAGTAGGGTACTCCACTGCTGGGGCAGGAATGTTTGCAAAATCTGACTGTTTGTATGGTCCAGGGACTGTTGTGTTTCCTATGCTTTCCTTTCCCCAAGGCTGTTGTTATTAAAGTTATCTTGTATGTACCTCACTGCTATGTACTTATCAGGCTGTGGTTAGGAAGGACAGACAACATCTCTTTAGTCTGTAGGTTCTCAGATCACAGAGATCAAAACATGGATATGATGAGCATCGCTGAAGGTCTTGATATTTGAGCTAGATGTGGTAAACAATGACTAGGTCTCAGGTCATCTCCCGTGTGGAAGGGACATGTTTTCTGTGTGAGAGGATAGGAATAGAAATTTGCGTAACCAAAGGGAGAGACACTGGCAGATTGGTAGCTGTCTCCCCAATATCCATTCCTGTTTCTGCATTGATTAAAATTTCAAGTTGCCCATGGTTGTCCAGCTAAAGATAGTATTTCTTCACTGTCCCTGTACCTAATCTGTCCAAGTAATGACCTACCCAATAGTAAGTGGAGAGAATACTTAGGACTCCAACTCCCCAAAGGGAAAAGGAAGCATCCTCTATTGTTTCCTTCCTATCCTGGTGGCTTAAACACACATTCTGATAGGACCTGGAGGAGGAGCCTAGCTTGCAATATGTACCCTAACTGGCTCTTCACATACATTACTTCATTTATTCTGTAAGGAAAGTACTATTATTTTATTTTATAGCAGAGAAAATGGATTGACACAACCAGCCAGGGGCAGACTCAGCATCCCAGTGGTACACTTGCACAGGACTACAGGAGAGAGTAATCAGAAACAAGTCCAATTTTAGAGTACATTAGAAATATTTGGTTAGGATTCTAGAAGCTGATATGTATAGCACCTAAAATTCTTTAAGGATATTTCTAATCACAGAAATTGAAATGCAAAATGTGTTTTTCATTTATTCATTTATAGACAAAGCATTTGTTGAAACACTGAATAGTTAGCAGCTCTTGGTACGATTTGGCTTGAACTTATAATTTTCTGGTTTCTAATTGTTTTGTAGGATTGTGATCTTAAAAAATACTACATAGGAAAAATGAAGTATCACACATTTGTTCCATGGACTTAAGAGGTGGTTCTTGGCAACCAATGTCAAGGCAATGTATTTATTTCATCTCATTCTTCAAACTTTCAGTCAATCTTTTGTCCTCCAGTGTACCCTATTACATCCAGAAAATCAAAATATAACAAATAGCTTTATAATTGTTTTATCTTTCATTGACACATTCTCATGAAAACCTCAAACCTCAAGAGGACTTACAGAATGAATCAATTATACAATAGATATTTCAAAACACAATCTGCTCCTTATTTCCCATTTACTGTTTATTTTTGAAGGATTGAAATTTCCTTAACTTATACTAGACCTTTCCAATTTTTCTGAGCAAAGATCTAAATCTATTTATTTACGACCCACTACCTTCTCCTTTTAGATTACTCACAGCACAAATAGAGTGGGATTCACTGTGTGGAGCCCCTGAAGACACCAACTGATTGTCAAGGACAATAAACACTTGTCCTTGACTCTTACTCTTTTCATTTTCAATACTATACATTTGATTTATCTTTCCCCACCCCTTTCAAAATTGCTTGTTCTACCTCTTGGAGACCCTCATATGTTAATTGCTAAGGTAAAACATTTGTATCTTGTTACATTTGAATATTTCATATAAAAAGAAAGCTCTACCTTCGTCTTCATCCTCCATTTGGGCTTTGGCCTCTCTTGAATACATGGCCCTTCGGAGAGTTTTCCTCTCTAAAGTTGTCTGGTCGGCTTCCATATCCTACAATAGACATCATGCAATCATTTAAGGAGCTAAGAGCCATAGAAGGTTTTGACTTAACCCCTGAATGACCTGCATGTATAAATGGCTGGTGACCTTTACCCTTCTCAAGGGGTCTCTGTTCACTCGGAGACCCACAACCCTTGTGTCTGTGGGGGCAATGACTTAGATGTGTAGGAATTGCCATGTGCTCAGAGGTATAGGGAAGTATGAGGCCAGCAACAGTGAGATGGAGCTGAACTCGGGGCCAGAGAGATAGACCCTTGAACCCTAACACATGGTTCCACCTGCTTCTTGTTTTATTTTTACATCACTTTCAGGCACTTCCTGTAATTTTTCAAACTCAGGATGCATTCACGTTAATAAATGTTAAAAACACACACAGTTCTAGGTTGGTTAAACTGCAATCCATCATCCCCTTTTATGAATTATTAAATCACAATGAATCTCTTTAGCATCTCGCTAAGAGAACCGCACAAAAGAAAGGGATTTCCATAGGATCTGAAAGAAGACAGGTAATTTTGAAATAAATAGGCAATGAGGGCACTTAGCTGCCTTACAGTTACAAAACAAACTCTAGGAGGAAGAAAGATGTGGAAAGAGAAGGGAAAGGTACGAAAACAAATGTTGCAAACTTTTAGGGGTCACTGAAGACTTGTCTTGGGCTCAAGAAAGGGAGAAGCATTTTGTTTTCTCCATGCTCTGGCGTCCAACACTCCAGCTGAGGACTAGAATATCAGTTTAATTACATTTGGGGTTAAATCAGGTTCTGCAGTTCGGGAAAACTAACCCTCATCCCATTTCAGGGTGGGGAGCAACACATTCTGAGCTCCAAACAACTGAGCCACACACCTTCGGAACCTGCAACACACTGGGAGCTTCTTGAAGGTGCCAATACAAAGAGAAAAACCCACACAGTTTGACAGTGACACCAATAAATGAATAGACCTTTGGTGATGGGTTCCTAGGTAGGGACCTGGGTTTTTTCCTTCCTTTTTTGGCTTCTTACAGCATCTATGATGTAGGGAATGAGCTATTCTAAATAGCTCTACTACCTCCAGATTCCTGGTTAAAAAGAGAAAAAACAAAAATATCTCCTAAATGCCAGTTTTACAGAGGCAAGTTGACATAAGCCTTTAATTTTGCCTCAACAGATAAAAACAATGAGGCTAAATAAAAAATTAAAAAGCATCTCTATCCTCTGTGTGTCCTATCATGGAACAAAATAGATTTGACTTTGGTTCAATTTCCTATGCTGTGTCAGCAAAAAAATAGCACCTCAGAGACTTAAGAACAAAACAAAATAAAAATGACAACAACATAAATATCTTTACAGTAATTTTTCTTTTTAAAAAACATTTGGGTTAACATAAGGGTATATATGATTTGGTTACATTTTGCATGTTTGTAAGACAAAGGCCAAAGTAAAAGTAATTTTTTGTAAGCATAAATATCATATTAAGCTCACTATGCATCAAAATGTTAAATTGTGTTGATATTTGGATTCAGTCAACAGAAATTTAGTTTCATTTATCCAGTAAATGTTCATTGGCCTGGAGAGAAGACAGGTGAGGGGAGCGGGGAGTGTCAAACGATACTACTTTATTTCACTTATACCATTACAAAGATAATGGCTGATGCCATCCAAACTAGAATTTTTACTAATATTAGAATCAGCTAAAACTTATCTCCTTCTCTGTAGTTTTCACTATTATCACTTTATCACATTCTTTCCTGGCATCTGCGTCTCAACCCTGAACTGACCTCCTTTGGGAAGCCCTGCGCAGAGTGGCTGTGTATCCTCTGGTTTTACTTTCTTCCTCCACTGCTCATCTGCTCTGGCTCTCAGCCAGACTTTCTCCACCTCGGGGCACTCCTGACATTTGAGCTGGGCAACCTGTTGCCCTGGAGTCTGGCCTGCACACGGCAGAATGGGCAGCCTCCTCGTCTTCTAGCCAGTAGATGCTAACAGCATCCTCCTGCCCCATTTACCAAAAATGTCTCCAGATGTTGCCAATTTTTTTCCCCTAGGGGGAAAATTTGGCCCTGGCTGATAGGTAAACACCCTGTCCTGTCATAGGACGGACTAAACAGAGAGCTGTTTGTGCCAGCACCTCTCCAAAGTCCTCCAGGGCTCTTGTTCTCTGCAGTGTGATTCTCTCTGGCTCCAAATGAACTCAGGTGCCCGGTCTTTGCAACGTGGCAGTAATTTCCTCTATCCCCAGATGGGGAATCTGGGCAGGTGCGCAATACATTCCAGCTTCTACTGGCCACCATTCCACCTCCCAACTAGATTTCCCCATCCAGAACCTAACGCACTCCGTATCTCCCTGAGTTGATATATAACCCTCTAATGTGTCTTTAATTATAGAGCTATGCTATCTCAAGTGATCACTTCATTTCTAAATACAACTTCATGGACTTTCTTCCTGGCTTGCTCAACCGTATTGCTATAATATCGAGCCAACAGCTCTTATTTTTTTCCAGATCTCCTTTCCAAAGTAAACCATAAATTGTCCCACTCCTTAAACTTACATCATACTCTGTTGTCCCTGGCATTTAGATCACTGAAAAAAATGTCATTTGGAGCCATCCCCAGTACGTTTATAATGAAGCTTCCCACAGCACAGCTCCTAGTAGGCACTTGTCAACGATACCTTGTCTCGTTTGTGATTTGTCCTATTCTACTCCTAGGTTTTTATATGTCTTTCCACCTTATGTGGTTT